ATTATTATTTGTGCCTCCATTAGTGATGAAAACTGTTGCTGCTCTTGTCACTATTGTTGCCTTATTACGTGGAGTGGGTGCGGCACTAGCGCTGCTGTTTTTAAGGATTATGATGTATTATGATGTCTCCATTGCTTTACGGATTCGTGCTGTGAATAACTGAAATTATGGCAGCAACTCACTCGTGAGCTGTCTGCTTTCACGCTAAACTTGTAATAAATTCTTAACTTAATTGAGTTTGGCTGTATTATAAATTCTAACTAATAATCTAATTGCAATGCTAAGTGCTTACAAGTGCTTAAGCATTTTAAGTTTCATCAGACGAGGGAAATCTAACTTCAAAAGAAATTTAAATTTAATTCATATTTAATTTAATTAAATTAATCTTTTTAGTTTTCTTGTTTTTGTTTAATTCAAATTTAGTTTTTTAATTTAATTAAAATTTTTACAATTTAAAAATTCATATTTTTTATGTAGATTAAGTCTTCTTCTTCTTCTTAGCTTGATGAAGCGTGAGTTATTATCTAAAGCGCTTTTACTCAATAGCGTCTGTAACCACTTGGATGATCCACTGTAATAAGAGCTCCTTTGAATGCTGGTAATAAGTTATTCAAATGATTTTATAAAAGTATACTTTAAAGCTCAGTATATATTCCTGACGTAATATAACAACATTATCGTTGAGTTCTGATAATCAGTTATTCATATAATTTTATAGAAATACACTTTATATCCCAGCATATCTTTCTGACGGAATATATATTGCAATTGATTTGAAAGAGCGCAATTCTGAATAAGAGTGCACTTCCAAGGAATCGAACAATTTCTTTGTTCTTTGATATAGTTTTGCACACTCTCGACGATCAAGTCTTTATGTGTGTTATAAATGTAAATACATTTATAAAGAGGATTTTTTGAACAGTAGTGAAATACAACAACAAAAATTTTATTTTTTATATTATTTTAATTAATTGAATTTTTGGCTGATCATACAGCTGTTTCGAGTATTGCCAAATACCCATCATCAGTGGTCTTGGAAATAATTCTTGTAAATACATTTATAAATAATTAAGAAAAACAGAAAAATAAATTTTTGCAATATATAATATAATATGTTCTAAATAATATTGTTACACTGATGTTTAAGTCTAGTCAATAGTTCTGATGAAAAACTATACTGAACAATGATTTACTTAATGCGACTGCACTTGACGTACTCGTAATTCAAAACAAAGGAATTTTAATGGTG